AAAGGCAATCTTGTATTCCGTCCTATCTCGAATTCCTTTCTTGTCTTATTCTCCAAAGTCTCATCTCATTTTTTTTGGTCTAGGATGACTTGTCCTGATATACTGGGATGGAATTGGGCCAATGAAAATGGGTACAAAGTTAAACACTTCTACTTACTTGAATAATTGGTATATGCACTCGAGACTTCTATTTTAACACTTCAGAAGTAAAGAAGGAATTCCAGCTTGAGCTCAATGTACTGCTGGATTATTGGAAGTAATTTTGTTTAAGAAATTGTTGGGTGTTAAATATTGGTATCTTTTTCAAGAAATATTCAAACCTTGGTTTATTATATCGTAAGGGATTAGCCCTTCTTTTAAATCCAACTCTCTTGATTTTTATACATACTCCTTTTAGACCATAATATAAGTCACAATTAATTAATTCACAATTTATGAACAATGTTAATTGAATCTTAAATTCTTAAAAATGTCCATATCTTTTCATTTCTACCATTTTTAAATACTATAAATAAAAGCCTTAATAATAGTAATTAAGATTTCATTGCATGATTTTTTCTAAAAAAGAGTCATAAATGAATTAGGGGTATAGTTAAAAAAAATAAATATAAAATTTAACTAATACCCTGTATTCTGGATCATGCAATATTTATAGGAGATGCTTTATATTATCATTCGAAGGGAATATATATGGTCGTCTAATGTTTTAATTTTTTTTGGGTGAAAATATAAAGCAAAGCCCAAACCTCTTAATGAACTCGGGTCATGCACGGAAACGCCCAACATTAGGGAAGAGGAAAATAAATAGTGGCGGGAATAAAAGCCCAGAAAGAATCAAAGAACATTAGAACAAGTTCACAAGAGAGTCTGACAAGGGGAAAAAAAGTTCACTAGAGAATTTGGTACGCCATGCACTTTACAGATTTTTTTCCCCCGTCAACTACTGAAAAGAGAAAATTTTAATCAGAAGAGCCAGAGAGTAGTTTTGGAATGTCACTAGATTTAAAACCCAGAAAAAAAATAAATAAATAAAACCATTAGCTCCTGACTAATTTCGACCTATTTCTTTGGTATATATGATTCGGTTGAATAGATCTTATAAAAAAAAAAAAAAGAGTATACAATGCGTGGAAACATATTTAGTTACGTGAAAAATATACATGATATTCATTGTACTCTATAATGTTATTGTTTCATAATACTTGTCTGCATTTTCATATACACTACACGGCATGTCAAAAATAAATCACAAATTCACAGTGTTTAATTATAAATAGCGTAATTTACTACTCCTTATGGTCATTAATATAAGATATTTTTTTAAATTTATCCATATTAAATATACATAAAAAAATTTGCAATAAAAAAATTGATGACGTTGCTTATAAATTAAGTTTTAATATCTTTCAAAACTTGAGATTATTAGTCTATAAAATCAAAAGAGCATGCCATCTCAAGACTATGTCATAAGCTTGTACTTGTTCCATGCACTTCCAAGTCCAAATGGAGATGTTTAAAGGGAAAATATTACCTAAGGATCCATGTAGCTCTTTAATGGGAAATTAAAGAATGATCTTATAATTATGAAATATCACTAAAACCCTGGGATCTAATTAAAAATAAGATTTAGGGGGGAACCTGTTTGCTAAGTGAATGGAAAACATAGTTAAATGAATATACGTTGATTACTAACGTATTGTTCCTTGTCAATACCCAATTGGTTGTTTTTTATTCAAGACCAACAATTATACAATTATTACATGTCCTAACTGCTTTATCAGGTTAATCAATAACTTAAAAAAGACTAATTAGGAGAGGCATGATTGCAACAAAATTTGTTTTGAATAAACAAGTAATTAACCATCTGAGTATTCATAGGTAACTATATGTGAACAACAAGCACCTATTTAATAATGAACAATTTAAAAAAATTTGATAAAGCATTTTAATTATATATGTGTTGGTCCTAAATAAATAAATAATTTATTCAGATTTTGATAAGTAACCATAAGAAAGTAACAAATACCCATTCATTTATGAATAATTTAGAAAAATGGACAAGACATGTGCTAATTGTACAAGCCTAAGTCTTAAATTAAATAAACAAGCAACAATTCATGTATCGACAAGTAAACATGTGTTAGTAACAGCTAGACATTTGTTTAATTGTGTTTCCTATTTAATTACGTTTCTTGTTTACTTAGCAGGAGTAATCAGGTCTTCTACTCTTAAATTTTATTTGCAATTAGGTCCAGAGAGATGCGATTCTAGGACAATAACAGATCCTTCTTCACTAGTAAGAAGTTAGATATTTTCCAATATTTAAAAGGCAAATACATTTCAAGACACTGCGCATGTTTGGCTTTCCACTGGGTAAAGCTCCATTACATAAATGGCAAAAAATTGTTGCACCTAACAAAAAAACAAACACACTCTTAAAGATATAAAAATGGGTCGTCCAAACAAAAAATGAAAATAGAAAAATGTTAAATATATGCACATTTCTCCCTTTTTATTTTGTATTACTAATAAATATTTTATTATTGGAAGTACTTTTGTTTGAGGTATAATGGGTGTTAAAAGTAAAAATATATTCCAATGACAATTTGAATGTTGGTTTATCATGTTGTGAGAGACTAATCCTTCTTTAAGATTTAATCATGTTAGTATTTGTATCTTATTTTTTATTTGTAATTTGAGGAAGTTAATCAATTTAAATTTTCTTTTATGGTATTCATTTGTTATATTTGGATCTTTTTTATAATTGTAAGTCTTTTTTTTTTGTAATTTTTTAAAGTAAAGCTGTGCCTGGCAAGGGAAAAAAAGTAAGGGGAGTGAAAAGTTGGGAGAAAACGACATTTTTTTTTTTTTAGCTTGGCCAAGAGAAAAAAATGAAAAGGAGTGGACGTTGGGAGAAAAATAATATGTAGGGCTCATATATTTTTATCTTTAATTTTTTTTTCGTTAAATATGAGGAGATTTTTAAGAGAAGACTCAATTTTTTAATTTACCTATGAATCTTTTCGTTTCCAGCATGTCACCTCCTCCCATTTTTATTCTAATTTTTTCTCCACTTTAGAATATAGATTATTGTATATTTAATAATTTAAAAAATAAAAATAAAAATTGGACAAAATATTTTTCTTGCCATCATAAGATAAAAGAATTTACAATTATATTTTCTATTTAATCAGTAATATAAATAAAATTTATATAAATAATATATTAAAATGTTAAATTTTAGAGAAAATTATGTATAGGTTTCATGGAGTAGCCTTATTTGCAAATAAGTTACAAAATTTAAAAACTATAGTCAAATTCTTTGAAACGTAAGTGTAATTTAAAATCAGAATACAAAAACAATACTACCCTCATTTGTAATGCATAATTAGTTTAACTATTAAATGTGTAAAATTATAATTATAAAAAGTTAAAATGATAATTGTAAATTACTAATAAAATAATTATAAAAATTAGTATTAAACTTTGTTAAAAGTGCATGATCAATTTAATTATTAGATATGTGAAGTTACATTATGTGAACAATTAATATTAAACTTTATAATAACGTATGATCAATTTAATTATTAGATATGTAAAGTTATAATTATAAAATATTAAAGTGATAATTATAAATTATTGATGGGATAGTTGCATACATTAGTATTAAACTTGTGGTATATTATCAGTTTAACTATTGAATATGTGTAGTTACAATTGTAAAAAGTTAGAGTGATAATTATATTATAAATTATTGATTAATTAGTTATAAATTACTTGATAGATGTAATGTATTTATAATTAGAGAACTATTATCTTTGCACCTCAATTTTAAATTATACTTAGATCCTAAGAAAAATTTTAAATTTCACAAGACTTATTTATAAATAATTCTACTTTATGAGACTTATACATAACTTTTTCTAAACTTTATTATGGATAAATATTTTTTTATAAATAACAAGGAAAAATTAATTTTTCGGTCTTTGTAGTTTTGACCCAATTATAACTTAATCCCTTAACCTTGACTTGTTATAACTTAGACCCTAAAATTTTGGCTCCGTTGCAAATCAATCCATGAATTTTGCTTATTGTAATTTAGTCTCTGAAATTTTAACATATTAAATATTGGTCCCTATATTTTAAAAAATAAAATTATAAAGATTCAAAATATTTTAAAATTTATTACTAATATTTTAAATTGTTAAACCCTTTTAATCTTTATAAATATTATAAATATTAAAAGTTTAAAGTATTTTTAATTTTTATAATTTTATTTTTTAAAATATAGGGACTAATATTTAAGAAGTTGAAACTTTAGGAATTTAATTGTAAGAGGTAAAGTTTAAAGACTGATTTATAATCGAGTCAAAATTTTAGAGACTGAATTATAATGTATTAAAGTTAAAAATTGAGTTACAACTGGATTAAAATTATGAAGACTAAATAATTAATTTTTTTAAATAATAAAGTTGTTCTTGTCTAATTGAAATAACAATTTTTTCTTCATGCAGCCTTCTCTTACTAAGCGAAACATAAGGAGAGAAAACTATATTCCTTCGCTTTTCTCTCATCTCCATTTTCTGTTGTTAAAATGAATCTTTATTTTATTAACAGTGGAAGAAATATTGTATTGTTTTCAATTGTTGATAGAAACATTGATCATAAAATGCTAAACGCTCTTTGAAGGACCAAATGTCTTCTAAAATCTAACCTTTGCGAAAGAAACATCACTATAGCTTCTCCAAAAAAAAAAAAAAACTGACAATGGAAAAATTTCAAAGATGGAAATTGGAAGAGATGGTATTGGTATCATGAAGGTTCTCTTCAGAAAGGCTCGTATATATTATAAACATATCGGTGCAGCGTCAAAAAGCATAAAGTTTTATTAGTTTAAGCATGGAATTTTTATTAGATCGCCCACATCGAGAATAATGGCATCCTTCGTCTAAGTGACTTGTTAGTGAGAAAAGGTGTAACTTTTTTCCGTTTCCTTTTCAGTAAGAAAAAGACAAACGCTTCCTTGTGCTGCTGCTTTTCTTCAAGACATAATATAACAATACACGCGCTTTCTTACGGAAGGAGGAAGGAAGTTTGAGAATCAAATTCAAACGCCAAAGAACAATGTGGCGGGGTAGTAGGGGTTTTCTTCTCCTAGTGCTGCTCTCTCTTCCCCTTTTCGATTCAGTAGCTTCTCTGAATCGTAGCAGTTTTCCGGCGGATTTCTTTTTTGGAACTGCATCTTCCGCTTATCAGGTTTTGTTATTTGCATCCATGGCTCCTTCTACCTCCTAACATTGTGTGTAGTTCTGTATCTGCATCTGGCTAAGTGAATGAAGTGTGAAGCTGCCTGTGGGCTGTGGTTTACTTTGCTTTCAACGTTGTTTGGTTATTTGCGTTTCCCCATGTTAATAGTTTTGATCTTAATAGTTTTCTGACTTTCTCCTGTAAATGAAGTATGAAGGTGCCGCAAACGAAGGAGGTAGAGGCCCTAGCATTTGGGACACCTACACTCACAGATACCCCGGTATGACTATTTGACTCTAACTCTTAGCAGGCTAGCAGCTTCTCATATTTTTTTTAATCCCTAGAAGGCACAGAAGTATCATCTGTTCTCATTGGAACGTTTTATGACGATTCACGCAAATATGAGTTTCAATCCTTTATATGGTTTTGTTTAAAAAAGATTAGGACATGATATCGAGGAATTTAATGCCCTCTTTTTACTGAAGTAGTTTAGCATGGTCTTTTTCTTCTCCCCAAATAGTAGAGTAACATCCTCTATTGTAGCTGAAATATTTTATGAAAGTTCGTACATAGATGAAATTGAATCCTTTCTTTCTGTTCAGAGTTAGAAACGATAATAAGGTAGTTGATGTCTTCTTCTTAATTAAGAAACACTCTGGCATGGCGATTCTTGAAATCCCCAGATAGCTGATTAATATCCTCTGTTTTTGCTGAAATATTTTATGAAGATTGGTTTATGTGGAATCCATCCTTTTCAGAAGCAAGATTATAAATTATATTAAGGAACTTGTTGTTCTTTTTCTTGATTAAATTTTATTATCAAACAAACACAAAGGCTTGAGGGGTTGAAACATTTTCTTGGTTCTTTAGAAAGGATAGCTGACCACAGTAATGGGGATGTTGCTACTGATTCATATCATCACTACAAGGTACTTTCATTCTCTAAGTATTTTAAATTTTAAATTGCTGAGCTTCATTTTCGTCTGGACTGATAACACTTTCCTTGCACAAAAAATTGTTAGGAAGATGTGGCTTTGATGAAGGATGTTGGATTTAATGCATACAGATTTTCGATCTCTTGGTCCAGAATACTTCCCAGTGAGAACTGAAAAAAACTAAGCTTTCCTATGTTCCTTTTATTTTCCTCAGATTTAATGTTCAATAACTGAGCCTTTCCCCCTTTTGAGACGCAGTAAGAGGTTAAATTTGGATCATCAGTTTTATGATCTAATCAATCTCATGATTAAATTATGTTCTAGGGGGGAACCTTAAAGGAGGAGTGAACCAAGAAGGCATTGCATATTACAATAATCTCATAAATGAACTCTTATCAAAAGGTCAGCAGAATTTGTGTGTCAGTGTGTGTGTGTGTGTGTGTGTGTGTGATTCATTATACTTATGTCCCAAAATCAAAACCAAGTTGAATTGAATTTCTCATTCCTTATGCTCACAGGAATACAGCCCTTTATAACACTATTCCACTGGGACCTCCCTCAAGCTCTTGAAGATGAATATGGTGGTTTTCTTAGCCCGAAAATTGTGTAAGTATTAATTATAATCACATGGTTTTCTATAATGCTTGGAACCCCCTTCTATGTTTTTTCTGGCTGCCTGAAACATTCACCCTTTGGTTTTGCGAACAGGCAGGATTTTGCATCCTATGCAGAAATATGCTTCAAAGAGTTTGGAGACAGGGTAAAGCACTGGATCACTCTTAATGAGCCACTGTCCTTTATCGTTGGTGGTTATGCAAATGGTGGATCTCCTCCTGGAAGATGCTCTAAGTGGCTAGGCCCAAACTGTAATGTTGGTGATTCTAGTACTGAGCCTTACCTTGCTTCCCACCACCAGCTTCTTGCTCATGCTGCAGCTGTCAAAGTCTATCGGGAGAAGTACCAGGTTACTGCATTTATATGGTTTTATAATCCAACAGATCAAATTAGATTTCATTTTCATGAACGAACCTTGTAGCTTGGTTAAAACAATGATGATCTTTTTAACAGATTTCCCAGAAAGGTCAAATAGGGATAACCCTAAATACTGGTTGGGTTATGCCTTTGACCCCATCTAATGCTGACAAAGAGGCAGCAGCTCGGAGTCTTGCTTTTTCATATGACTGGTAAGTGTCTGTTTCACTTGAACATAATCTACTTGTTTCAAATTCTTACCTGTCTTGTAGTGCCTCCCCTCCTCTCTCTTGTAATTCCTCATGGGTGATCAGGCCTAGCACTCATCATTCCTTGCTTTTGAAGGTTCATGGAACCCCTGCATTCTGGTTTATACCCTGCTGTAATGGTTGAAAAAGTTGGTGCGCGATTGCCGAAGTTTTCCAGAAGCGAATCCTTAATGGTTAAAGGGTCCTTCGATTTCATAGGTTTGAACTATTACACTTCAAATTATGCAGCTGCTACTCCTTGTCAACATGAAAAGCGAACCTTATTCACAGACCCTTGCGTTAGATCTACTAGTAAGCTACGGATGAACCTTATATATATCTCTGCACCCACTTTTATTGAGTTTGCAAATACATTTGCTTACTTATGATCCCTCGTGCTTCTTCAGCTGTAAGAAACGGAGTTCTCATTGGTCCAAAGGTAACTACTCATCTAGAGATAACTTCTACTTTGTTTAGAGACACTCTAGTGCATGAAATTGAATGTAATCTCTAAGACTCTTTCGTAGTCAAAGCCTGAGTTACTAGATCAAGTAGGTTGGCTCAATGATTTCCTGGTTTAAAGGGTGGATGGCAATGAAAGCCATCCCTAGTGTGGCGTTTTAATCCACTATCCAGGCATTTTAATTTTCCAAGTCCTTGAATCGTACTTAAATGATACATGGGCAAAGCCAATATTGTACTCATTCATTATAAATATTGAATTTGCAATATATCTTGTGCTCAAAATTTTATGAATAGGTTTCTAAATGCTTGAAACGTGAAGGATTTATATACCAAACGCCACCAAGTTCATTTATATTTATTTCTATAGTAAAAACCTAGCAACTGATCTAAGTAAAAGTTAGATTGAATTAATATTTTTCTGGCTTATAGGGTGGACTCCCTTAAAAAGAAAATTGAGAAGTGAAATAATTTTGCAGGCTGCCTCAGACTGGCTCTATGTTTATCCACGAGGAATTCAAGAGCTACTACAATACACGAAGGAGAAATTTAACAATCCTGTCATTTACATAACGGAAAATGGTAAGATTAGCCACTTTTTTCTCCTCTAACCGTAAAGGCTTGGCTTGGATCTTTACCAAATCAAAGCCCCTGTGTTTTGTTCTCCCCTTCATCAGATTTCATGTATTCACAGGAATTGATGAGGCCAATGATGGTAAAAGGAATCTCGATGACAAAATGAGGATGGACTACATCAGAAACCACCTTCTGTATGTTCAAAGGGCCATAAGGTGAGTGCAAAAGTGAATCAGTTCACTTGCAGCTTGAGAAACACGCACACAACACAACACAGTAAGATATCTAGCGTTCAAACAGACAGTTTTAGGCACATATATAAATGAACTCAACAAAAATTCATCAAAGTGGATATTTTAGGTGGGGGGATCCATTTGCTCACCTGCCTTTTGAGTTTCTTTTTATTGACCCCTTGCTCCAGGTAGCAGCAAAGTATATTGCTCTTGCTAATTTCTTGTGTTCAGAATCAGATGCAATTTGAAGTATCGTGTTGTATTTTTTGATACAAGTGTCTTCCACAAAATTAAGCACGGGCATGGCTCCAGTTTTGATGAGGCCATTTGTCATAGGTTGCAAAGCTCATGCTTCTCAGTTAACTTTGAATTTTGTCAGGAATGGTGTGAGGGTGAAGGGCTACTTTGCATGGTCATTCTTAGACAATTTTGAGTGGGGTGCCGGATACACTGTTCGGTTTGGAATGGTGTACGTAGACTACAAGAATGGGCAGAGAAGGTACCGTAAAAGATCAGCTTTATGGTTCAAAGTTTTTCTTCGCGGATGAAACGTCATGATTAGACTGGGCAGAGAAGGTACCGTAAGCTTAAGCGTGGCCACTATATGAAATTGATGTCTGATAATTGGCTCTAAGACTGCTTCATTGTAATCTGAGGTTCATGTCTTTCCTTGATCTGTTTCTGTACTTTGTTGTCTATTAGCCAACCCATAATATGGCGAGACTTTTGTTGTTCCGTTGGTAATACTTAACAAATTAGTGGACTCTTCAACATTATGAATGTGGCTACAAGTACCAGTGCTTACATTTTGTAGGTTAACGGCAGGTTTGTTTAAGATTAGAAAAGATTAGGGGAAAAAAAGGTAATTTTGATTGGTTAAACATGAGGGAGTCGTTGGGAGATGTGTTGGAAATAATTTTGTTTTAACTTGATACAAATGTGTTTATGATAAATAATGATATTGGGTTGCAATAGAATTTTAAGATGCGTGTGTTGTTTAGTTAGAAGAAGAATGAAGCCAAAAGTTAAGATATGCATTTAATGGAGGGTGAGCCGATGAAGCTTTCATTAACAGATTGTGGACTAGTAACACTGTGTTAGCACTATGCCTTGCATAAATAAGTTGAGATTTGTGAATTTTTGTAGAGTTTGCCTTTTTAAAGAAAAATAAAATTTTATATTTTATAAAGAATAATGAAATAAGGAAAATATTAAAAAAAGGAAAGCTTTACGGAAATCCATATATCCCAACTTCAGATGATTTAAATCCTACTTAATCTCATGAATTTTGTGTCTCTTTGTAAAATTCTTGCAATTATTTTTTCTATTTTTCAAAATATTTCTTTACAACACATCAATATTATTGTTATGTACACTTTTGATTGGGAATGGATTTGGTAACGAGAGCTTGCTTGGTCTTCATAAACCCGGTTTTTCTGGGCTTTAGCCTGAAAGCTCACATATTTCTTTGAAAAAAATTTAATTATGTTGATACATAATTTAAAATATTGTGTCATTTTAATATATCAATTCAAAAATAAAGCAAATAATTTTAACCATATTATTTGCAATATTATTAATTTTAATCCAACAATTTCAATTAAATGTTGACGGAAAAAATAATAAAATACAAAGCTTAAAAAAATTAGTACTTGAACTATCTTTTAAAGGGTTTAAATATGTTGGGCCTTAAACCCTTTTTTACTTTTATATAAAAAGAGTACATTTTTAAAAGTTCGGCTTTCAAAAAAATACAAAGCGAGGAATCCATTTTTGGGACAATGTTGGGTCTTGTGAAATCCTTTGAGTGATGGGACTCCATCCCCATATAATTGAAGCATGGACATGTTTTTTTACCAATAACTATGGAGATCGATTATTATATAAAAATAAATATATGTCAACTCACGGGTGTCTGACTGACTGTCGGTCTGCGCCAGAGGATATCATAAAAAAAATAAAGGGATATTTGATAAATAAAATATATTGTTATTATGTGATAGGTTGATGCTATTATTTTTTAATAAGTACTTTGAGTCTTTGCGATATTTTCTTTAGGAAGAATAAAAGAAAAGTTGTAAAGAATCAATTAATTTAATTTAAATTTTAAATCTTAAACTTAAAAAATTTATAAATTTATTTTAATTTATAATTTTATTGTGATGAATTTATAACTTATATTTTAAATTTTAACAGGTTCATCTTTCAATTTATAATTTTATTATGATTAATTTATAATTTATTTTTTAAATTTTAATATGATTAAAGGATAAATAAATTTATTTTCTCTATTAAAATTTAAAATATAAATTATACATTTATTATAATAAAATTATAAAATTAAAAGTTGAATTTATAAATTTTTAAAGTTTTAAATTTAAAATTTAAGTTAAATTAATTGATATTATTTGTTTTATTTTTTAAGTCTGATTCAGAATCAGAAACAGATAATGACTCCCAAAGGGCCGGCTATATCGTCCAAGAGACAGCCTTCCAACTGCTCATCCTTTCATTTTATGGTTTTGCTTGTATTTATTTATATTCAAGGTAGCGTAAAATATATTTAAATATTAATGAGTAAGCCTTAAAATTGGGACCATTTATTTTTGGCTTCATGATTTTTCCAAGAACAATTACTCTACTAGTACTATGTTGTATGTTTTTGGGATGAGTATTCACTGCGATGCTACTCAGTCCGGAAAAAAGCTGGATTAATCTTGATTTATAAATCTTACATTTTTTTATAATTTTTTTAATGTTATATTGATATTATTTTCGCACAGGGCACTTGAGATTTTCAAAAAGTAAACTTTATAGCAAGTTGTATTTCCATTAATTATAATAATGACAATTAATTGTTCAAACCACACGCAATATGCGAGAAAAGGTGTCTCATTTCTTTAAGAGAGCTCTAACTTAATCACATTATTTTTTAAATATAAATAGTGCAGCTTTTCTCACATTTTATGTGAAATACAAAAGATAGTCTTTTTTCTCAAGATGGTAAAGGTAATTAATTGAGTAAAAACTTATATTCTTTCTTTTAAAAATATAAAATATTTTTAATTGAATTATATCTCCAATAAAATATGGTTAATTATCTTTAAATTAATATCATTTTTTATATTTGATCTTATTTAATAAAGTATTTGGTTTTAAAATAAATATAAAATAAATTATTTATTAAGGACAATTTTGATAAAAGTATATTAATTACACCTAGTAATACTAAAAATATCTTGTATTTTTGAACATTTAAATTTTTAAAAAATGGGGTATAAGTTTTACTGTTTTATTTCTTAAATCTATTTTCATAATATTTGAATGAAAAAATTACTGAATTTCAGCCTAACGTAAGTAAAGCAGCAAATTGTTCCCTCATATGTGTTCCTTGTGGCAAATTGACCACCATACTATTAATTTTTTTTTTTTTACCGACTAACGTTCTACATTATGAGAAATATTTATTAATGATATTATAAATTGAAACTTGATTTAATAAACATCAAGTTCTAAATTTTTTTGTGTGAGACTTATATAGAATTTGGTGTCTACTTCTATATCAATGTAAGATAATAAAAATTACACTTGCTACTTTCTTTCTCTATACACATATCACGGTTCGTCCATCTACTTCTTTTTCATTGTGATTTTCAACAACCACCTAGATGTATTAAATCAAAGATTTAATAGTTATTAATTCAATATTATGGACCTATATGACTACTGTCATGATTCATGATCCATTTCTTTATACTTTAATGCTTTGGCTTTAAATATTTATATTTATTTTAACAATAAATTTTTATATTTATAAATTTATTAATATTATAATGCATCTAAACGATTTGGCACTGGATCCCACGTTCTTCTTCTTCTTTTTTGGCCATTCCATTATTTGGTATTTGGGGAAATTTAAGGATATTACCACCTTTTGCTCAAATAAATGCAAATTTCCACTACGCAAAGGTATTTTAATATATTTATTTAATGCAATTGTATATTTTAAAATTCAGACTCAAGATAATAAGTTAATTCAATTTTTTTCAACTAATTGAATGAAGTCCCTCCATCTGGATCTCACTTCTAACATGTGTTAATGTTTAAAAAAAAAAAACACTTTTTGAATGGAGCTAAGTGATGATACTGTTGAATTTGACACAATAGAATCGATATAATATATATATATATATATATAATATATCATTTTAAAATAATTCATAAAAATTAATAGTAATAATTAATAAATTATAAATAGTACGGAACTTAAGTCTACTTGCTTATATTAATTAGAACCAATTCTCCAATAAAATCTTAGTATTTTATGATAATTATAACAATAGCGCATTATATTTAAGTAAACGATGAAGTGAGGAAAAATGCCCGCATTACAAGACTTAATTAGAGAATTGGTTGTGATAAGTTACGTAGATAAATGGACTTAAGTTTATCCTTATAAGCAATATAATATAACTTATTTTTCATATGATAGACAAAAAAAGTGTGTATGGTTTTGCTCATATTAAGAATTTTAGGAAGTGAAATATTAGAGGGTTTGGAGATGATATGACGGCAGTATCCATTTTTTAATTACTGTAATACATTCATGATTTAATTTGATATACTCCCTGATTCTTAATATAAGACAGAAAAGCTTTTGTTAGTCTTAATATAAAGCAAAATTAAAGTAATTAATATATTTTTCAATTTCATACCTTATCTATTTGTTTATTTATTATATCATTTGATTTGGAAGACAATTTATTATATTTATCAATTGCAAGTAAAGGAAAAATTAGAAAATTATATGTTGTTTTAATAATTTTAAGAATATAACCGTATTTTTAGTAAACACGAAATTGATTAATTCTGTCTTATATTCTTAAGAACTAGGGAAGTATTCCAAAAATGTTTAATGGATTAGAAATAAATGAAAAATATGATTTGAGGTCTAAACAATTAACGAAGAGATCACATATAAATGAGAAAATCATATCCACAAACTTTGAAAGAAAATTATTTGCAAGTAAAGATCAATAACATATTTCATTCCAAAAAAACAAATTCATATTTTTATTTTAACAATAATGCATTTTGTATTGATCTTTGTCAATGAATAACTGTCTTTCTAAATCTTTAGATGGGATTCTTCCAATATAAATTCTTTCAATCGAAATATACAAAATTATAGTGGACATTTCTTTTTTTCTAAGCACTGCCTAGCCATCACAAGAACCGTTATAAATAGATGAGCTTCATGCAGCAACTGAGCACGAAAACAAAAGCAGCCATGAGAATTGAAGGTGATGTTGGTTTCCTCCTCTGCCTGTTATTGGTGGCCGCCACTGCCGCAACCCCTCCGGCAGCTTCCGGTGGCACTGCAAAGCCGAGCCATTAGTCTGTTCCGTTCAATAGAACCCTTTTCCCATCCGACTTTGTCTTTGGTGCTGGTTCTGCTGCTTATCAGGTGCGCGTGTGCGCGTGTTCATTCATTCATTTTCACTGACTTCCACAAACGTGCGTGTAAAAGTTTCATGGTGTTTAAGTGTGCGCGTGTGTGTGTAGTTTTTTTTTTTTTTTTTAATGTTAAAATTTGTTGTGGTTGTTGAAAATTACAGTCAGAAGGAGCGGCAAATATTGACGGAAGAGGACCAAGCATTTGGGACACCTTCACTAAGCAGCACCGGGTATGTCTGTACACCTTTTCCCTCTCCTTCACACCTTCTCTAAAGAAAATCAATTGCACGAGGGATATTTTGAGGAAGAAGATTAAGTT